ATGTAATTTTATACACATAATGGAATTAATGTTTGAGATTTTGAAAATATAAAGTATATATATATATGTTAATGTTACACTAGTTAAAGCATACATTTATTCAATCATATTATTTAGAGGGTAAGTCATTTTTTTCGCATGTTACTACTTTCTTTCGTTTTAATGAAAATTTATGATAAAGTAGTCAAAGTTATTATATTGTACACAAATAATAACTGGTTCAGACAATTTTTTAAAAGAAAAATAATATTTATTTAAAAGAACTTATTTTAAAAGGCAAATTATTTGGCTAAATTTATTTATGTTGGAATAGTATTTTTCTTCTTTGCTTTAATAGAAAATCTAAGCCGAATTGTAGTACAAAGCTAAGATTTATGAAAGTACCCTAATTCTAGAGTTTACTTGAGTGAAAAAACTAGTTTCACCCGCATGGTTTTTGATTGATCCAAACTAGTTTCACACTATAACAAGGTTTGTCCGTATTAAAAGGTTATTTGTAATTATGTAATAAACGATTTGATTGTATAAATGATTTTTTTTTAGTAAAATTCACTTTATCTTCTAATATTTAAGATTTGAAAATAATATTTTTTCACTTGCTAAATGACGATAATTTCACGATTTTCTCGACAGATAGTCCAAATATATGGTGATCGAAGTCATCTCCATTTGAATTGTCCGCTTGTATGTCACGTGGTTTGATAATTGTCGTGTAACATTTACAAGCAACGCGTCGATCACTACAAACTTTTCACGTTTCCATTTAAATTTTAAATTTGATTATTTAGTGATAAGTAGATATATATTATGTGTATTCAAGATCTTCTTACTTGAGGTTAGCTACAACCTAATACAAAAAACATAAACTTGGTGATTCACTATTCGATATTTTAGTTTGATCTTAATTTTCTTAAGGGAAAATTCATAAAAAATAAATCCCTGAACTTGACACGAAAACTTACTTTAGTACTTCAACTACACGGGTGTTTCTATACCCCCCTAATCTCATTTAAAGTGAATAAATACCCCCCTAAGAATACAAAACCAGTCTCACAGTGGCAAGTATATTACACACGCGCCAAGTCATTGCCATATCAACGCCACATCATTGCCACGTCAGAATCGTGTTGGAAATCAATTTTAAAAATTTGTTTTTTTCCTTCCCTTCTTCTTCTCTCTCCCATGTTAGAAATCAATTTTTAAAATTTAATTTTTTTTCCCTTCTCTCTCCAATGGTTGCACTACCTTCCACCTCCATTAGTGTTTTCTCATTTCTTGCTTGATTATCATTAATTTTCACTAATGACTTCTCTATTTTCAACCTCAATATCTTCTAACAATTTCACTAATTTCTTTTGAGAAAATTCTCATACATTTTCTATCAATATCCATTGATGTGAGATTGCAACAAATATGGACCTACATTGAATTTTTTACCGATTTATTGCTCTCTTTGGTATTTGAGGACAAATAAATCAACTGAAAATGTAGATGAATTCGACCCTTTAGTAAAAAAAAAAAGCAATCCTTTCCAATATTCCATCTTCAAAAACCCTTATTTTTTCATGACATACAACAATCATAATTTTTGAAATCATAAAAATGTGTTAATGAAATTTTCTTTTGTTTGACAGAAATCTCAAGTTTGATCGGAACGAAGTTTAATGATTTTTCTCTCTTTAGTAGATCTG